CACACACACACATTTCTGAGGAGTTACCTTTGCCTTAGTTTTCTATCCGAGAAGGTTTGTTACTTTTCTCTGGGTTGATTAACATTTCCCGGGTAAGCTGTAAACAACATGAGGTTATGGAAGTTTGGTAAGTTTTCGTCTGGCCCTGGATTGCAGCCTGCCATGTTATTGGTCTATTTTACACAGTGTGCAAGGGATTGGACAATCTGCTTACGCAAATAAAGTTACTGTAGCCTACCACACAAATTAAATGTCTGTGGTCTACTGGGGGATAAGTCAGTTTAGGCCTGGTGAGAGGGCTATGCCGTGAAATTGACCAGGAGTTTGTATATGCAGCCAGCTTCACAGAGGTGAGCACACAGAGCAGAGAGAAGGAAGAAAAGAGAAGAGAGACGATGTAGAAAAGAAGCAAGGAACATCCTAAAAGAGCTGTAACACAGGTTGAGAGCTATAATGCTAAAGGTATCAACCAACAGGCCCAGAAGAGCCCTGCAGTAGAATCAGTGGCAACAAGGCTGAAGGGGACCTGAAGCAAAGTCAGTGGTGACAGCAGAAACCTGCTGCTAGGAATGCAGCTATGAAAGCTGAACAAAACTACTACATTGACTATGAGCTGGGTCAGTTAGCAGTGGAGAGGTGATGGCAGAGGCCTGCACAGCTGAGAGGAGATATGCACAGCAAAAGAAAGTCCTGCTACTGATACTACTACTAACATTTAACAGCTTCTCATAATTCTCTATCTTGACCCCTCTTCCTTGTTCTTTCTCATTATCTGATGGTAGGACTATATGATCTTGATATTCCCTAAGATCCTGAAATATCTTTTTTCTCTTTTCTCTTGCCTTTCAGAGAGTCCTCTCTATGTAGAGAACTGCAAGAGCTATAATTTAATCTGAATTTGTTTCTAGAGTCTCTGCCAAATCAATGTTGTATTCAGATGTCCCTAGAGAGCAGCACCCCATGTTTTGCATATATTATGCAATTACCCCTTCCTCTTATCTGTTCTGTGTCCACTAGTCTAGACCTCTTCTACAACAAATCATGCAGAAGAAAAATATTTTATCTGTTAACCTCCTACAAACACTGGCATTTTAACAGTGAAATACTGTCTTAATTCTTCACCCTTCCCAAAATGAACAGCTCCCTATGGAACTTTCTAACACTGCTATAGTCAGGCAGAGAAGGTATGTTTTGTTGTTGTTAGGTGCTCTCAAGTCAGCTCCAGCTCATAGTGACCTTATGTACAACAGAATGAAACATTGTCTGGTCCTGCACAATCCACAGTCTTGCCTATGCTTAAATCCATCTCAGGGTATGTAGATACTGATAATTATTTCCATCACAGCACCATTCTAGCTTTGTATCAATCAGGGGTCATTCAGGATACAGAAACCAATTAGTAATTTGATCACAAAAGTTTAATATAAAGAATTATTAATTGTAACATGGAATTGGAGTAACAAGGCATTGCCTAGTAAGATGTAAAGAGAATTCTAAAAAATACAGTAATAGCAGATACAAGGAGCACTGACTACCCCCAGGGCTGAGGAAACAGCACCCAAGGAAGAGACCCACTCCCCACTTATGAATGTGATCCATACCTTGTTGGAGAGGGCACAGTTTGGCTCACTGGATGGCAGAGGAGTCACTGTGGCAGGACTTTCTGGAAACCTACTCTCTAGAATTTTCTAGAAATCAATGCCCTTTAAGGTGCTGGGGAAAGCTATTTATGGCAGGTGTTCCACTAAAGATTCTCTGCTATGAAACTGCAGGTGGAAGTTGCTGGGTGTTGCTGACCACTGTGCATTGCGTGAACAGATGCTGGAGAGGCCACCTGTGCAACATGCATCTGGAGCTGGAGAAGCCTGATGCTTGAGAAGCTGTGGCAAATGCTGGAAGGGGAACACTGGAACCTGGAGAAGGTCCCTTTCTCTTGCAATGTCTCTTTAATGCCCTCTACTGACAAAGCTTGACATCATACCAATTGGCAAAGGAAACATTAAAGGACCCAGCCTCATTTTCACAAAGCAGCCAAAAAGGATGAATTTGGGGCTTGTAGTGCTCTGGTGGTAGAGTGCCTATGGCATTTCACTGCTAACCAGAAGGTTGGCAGTTTAAACCCAGCAGCCACTCGGTGGAAGGAAGACTGGGCAATCTATTTAGGTAAAGATTTACTGCTCAAAAACCCAAAGTGGGTCGCTGTGAGTCAGAATCTACTCAATGGCAGTGGGTCTGGTCTGGTCAGGCAATAAATTGATAACTAACACAAGTATATTTACAAAAAGTTCTCACACATACTTTTATGTGACTTTAACTCTTTCTATCATGCAATGGGGAGCTCTGGTAGCATAGTGGCTAAGGCACTTGACTGCCAACCAGAAGGTTGGCGGTTCAAACCCACCGCCACTCCTTGGAAGGAACATGGGGCAATCTACTTCCGTAGTGATACTGCCTTGGAAACCCAAGAAGGGGTCACTATAAGTCGGGTCCGACTCGACGGCACCTATCAACAACAACATCATGCAATGGATATTCTATTTCAATCCTTTTATTTTAGCTCATTGTAAGGATAGAGCTTCCCCCTCCCTCCAATTTATGAATTTTAGTGCTTGCCAGGAATTTCTGTTGTTTATTCTCAGCACATATTTGCTAATTGCTAAAGTATAATGGTCTGACAGGGCAGTGTAGCTTGGTGATTGAGCAGACTCTGGAGCTAATGTCTTAGGTTTAAATGTGATTCTGCCTCTGTGACCTTGTATTTAATCTCTCTCTGTGTGCCTCACTTTCCTCATCTATAAAATGAAAAAAATTTTAACACTTAAAACTCATTGATTCATTGTGAAGGTTCAGTAAGTTAATGTAGGTATCTCCCACTCAACATCAGTAATCCATTTCTAAAAGTCATATTTCTGCATGGAAACTTTGAATTTACCTTATATTACTTTTAAAAAGAAAAATGTGAATGGCTGACCAATCAATCCAGGACTCTGGTGGTACAAGTGGTTTGCAATCTGCTGTCAACCTGAAGCTTGGCAGTTGAACTCATCTGGTGGCTCCACGAAAGAAAAGCCTGGCAAACTGCTTCTGTAAAGATTACAGACAAGAAAACCTTCTGGACCAGTTGTACTCATGGGGTTGCCATGAGTGAGGGCTGGATTCAACAGCAGCAAACAACGAACATCAACAAATAAACAATGCCCAAGCAATTTCTTTAATTGCAACTAAACACATGGAAATCCTTGTACATAAATAAATGATAATATCATAATATCATAATTTTGCATAACTGAAATGCAAAATGCTCAAAATATCACTTCCTGGTCACCATGTAATACTAACAGTGCTTCGTGTGCTGGAATATCTCCCATTTTAATCATTTTTCTTTCTTACTTTGCTTATTTTCTACAGTTTTCTTTAATGCTTTCCTAACTTCGAAACTCGTTGTATAATACTGGGCAAAAGCAAAGACTTAAATATAAAAGGCAGCAGGAAACACTTTTAGGACCTGCACACAGGCGGAGCGAAAGGCTCGCACTGAGCAAGATGATGAGGATTTCTGGACATTAGCAATAGCCTAAGGTACATGCGCAAGGTAAACCTCTTTTGCTGACTATACTGCACTCTTAAATAGGTTCATTCCAGATTCTGATCTTTTACTAGTCGTATTCGGAATGTGGGGCTTTGGTAGTGTAGTGCCTAAAGCACTTGACTCTCAACCAGAAGGCTGGCGGTTCAAACCCACCAGCCACTCCTCAGAAGGATGATGGGGCAATCTACTTCCGTAATGATACTGCCTCGGAAACCCAAGGAGGGGTCGCAATGAGTCGTGTCCCACTCCATGGCACATAACAACCACCACCTTTGGAATGTAACTTTTCCTTCAGTTCAAATGCTGTAGCGAGCAACTGGAAAGTAAGTTTATTTTTTTTTCCTAAAGGAACATCATCAACCAGAATATGTCGAATTGGGAGATTCTTACTCAGGAAGTTTAGATATTAAAAACCAAGAAGCTCTCTAAGTGGGAAATCGCTAAGCATAGGGAATGTCTTCAGAACATTCGTGGCTTGTAGGGCACGATTACTTTTATCAATAGCTGCATTCATTCATTGATTCATCCTTTCCAAAAATACTTTTTGAGCTCCCACTACTGGCTAAGCCCAGTGACAGCCTTGGGGGTACAATGATGAATAAGATGTAGTCCCCGCCCTCAAGAATTTAACACTTTATTGGGGGGGTGGGGGGGGCGGTTATGGAATGCGCGGCTATTAGACCTTTCATCTGTAAGGCTGACTTCAGGGAGAAGCTGCCAGGGGAAGACACTGTGCGGAAACAAGTGGTCAAGACCTTAAGCCAGCGCCGCGATCTGGTCGGGAGGGTCGGACTTCACAAACCTTGCGCGGTTGGAGCTAGGGAGGAGGGAGAGGAGTGCGGCTGGATTTCGTAAAACCAGGGACCCAAGGGAAGAACCAGATTGTAAGCGGTTTGCAATTGGAAGCCACTGAAAGGTTTATGCAGAAGGAGATCTAACTAATGTTTTAAGACGAAACCTCACGTGTTGTTTTGTGGTAGTAGAAGATATAATATTCTAATTAACAACACCGAACGCAATTTTCTTGCTTCGTAGCAGCTAGCACGTTTAGCAGGACACGAAAGGAACACTGTGGAGCACACCAAACCAACTTTAAGGCAGCTGATGAAGTAAGCGGCTATGAGAGAATATGATGGTAGTAGGGCTCATGTTGGGGCCGGACTGGGCAGCGGACCTGGGGAAGAGCGAGGTGGCAGAGAAGTCGCTGAGACTCTCCATTCACTGACTTTTCTCCTGGAACCAACTTCACGCAGTGCCACTCTTTATTCAGACCGCTCCCCAAGCCACATTCTAAAACGCAGTCGTGATCCTGGTTCGCGAGGCGGCCCCAGCAGAACCTGTGTCACCGGAACTAATGCCGAAGTTCTTTCGTTCCTGCCGGACGTAACAGTGACGCTTCCGGTGGTGGAAGATGGCTGCCACTGTTCGGGACTCACGTGTGAGTGCAGGGAAAAAGCTGAAAAACTCCCTAAAAAAGAAGAAGAAGATGATGAAAATGGTAGCCAGGGCTACATCATCTAAGCTGGAAGATGAGGAAAAAGACGCTGCCGACAGGAAAGGTGACGTACTGTGGCTGAGCTTTGGCGGCTGGGATGAAGGGCCTGGAGGAGTACATGGGGAGTAGGGCAAGAGAGTGGATGCTTTGCAAACTGCCCCCGATTTTATATCATGGCATCAGAGGAGCGACTTTGGCTCAATGAGAGGACTTGGAGAAGTGATCTTCAAGGCAGGGGAGCTGTCAACTTTGAATTTTCACATTCTTTTTATCAGACGTTTCCGGGATCATTGTTTGTAAACGGGAGACACTGATGCTATTGCCGAGAAATTTACAGTAGCAAAGGGTGAAAAAAAAAAAAAAAAAAGGTGACATTTGATATTATAAGAGTGGGCTAGATTTCATAGGGAGCGAGGAGCAAGTAAGAGAAAAATGGGTAATGTACCTGATGACTTTCCTTGTGTCATTAGGTGCGTGCCTGTGTTTGGGTCATAGATCAAATAGCGAATCAAAGAAAAGTAGGTGGTTAAAATAAAATTCATAAAGGTAGAAATTGATCTCTCTCTTGATGATGAGAAGAAGGAAAGAAGTATTTCGACACCTTCAAGCACGATTTGATCACTCTGCTCCTCTTAATCGTCATTTTTGGTTACAAGGAACTGCAGACAATCCTTGACCTCTTACTGCGTAGTTACTGCTCATTTGTATTGGTTGATACCCACATAATAGCTGGAGCTGTTCTTTTATAATGCATCTCATATCGTGTCAGTTAATTTTTCAAGACGATTCCTTCTCAGAGTAACACCCACAGTCTTTAGCCTATATGAGCTAGCTTGCATTGTTCATCAACCTACCCACTAACTGCAGATTCTAATCTAGCTGTACTGGTGTCCTTCCAGTTTGTTTTATACATTAAACCTCATACTGGGTTTATGCACTTCCTGGTCCCACCACTTAAAGAGTTTTCTGCTTCAGATATTTTATGGCTGTCTTCCTCATTTCCTTCAATGTGTGATCCAATGCCTATTCATACTTTTCTCTGACTACTTTATGTAATGTAGCACCTGCTCTTCTGCTTGCTTCCCTGCCTTTACTTTTTGACTTACTACCCTGCTTTATTTTCCTTCTCAGCACTTACCAAACCATCCGAAGTCATATGTTTGCTTGTGTGTCTTTTCCAACAAGAATGTAACTTCTGTGAGAGACTACTGTATCCCCAGCACCTAGAACAGTGTTTGGTGCATAGTAGGTCCTTTACAGATAATTGTTAACTAAATGAATGTATGAACCTGGACTTCTAAGACCAAGAAGAAGATATTGCCGTGTGCTATTGCAGTCAGTAATCTCAGTTCTCATTCCCTGCTGGAAAGGTTAGGGAAAATAAACTATTTCTTGAATAGGAATTAGAACTTCTAGTTCTGGTAGTTTTTGAACTCTAGAACACTACTACTTTGGGAGCAAAATATCATTACTGCTTATAGATTTGGGTGGAGATTAACTTTCTCCATTCAAGTACTGGGCAATTTCAGGTTGAAACTGTTTTGATTTCTCATTGCATTACTACAAATACTAGTTTCTAAGTTTCCCTTGCTTTTGGGCATTAAAACCAAACCAAACTCACTGCCATCGAGTTGGATCCGACTCATAGTGACCCCTCCTTGGGTTTCTGAGGCACTACTATCACTATGGAGGGAGCTCTGGTAGCATAGTGCCTAAGGCACTTGACTGCTAACCAGAAGGCTGGTGGTTCAAACCCACCAGCCACTCCTTGGAAGGAAGATGGGGCAATCTACTTCCGTAGTGATACTGCCTCGGAAGCCCAAGGAGGGGTCACTATGAGTCGGGTCCGACTCGACGGTACATAACAACAACAACATCACTATGGAAGTAGATTGCCCAATCTTCCTTCTGGAAACCTAATTATTGAATTCAGTTCAGTGAACAACTGTGTTTCTGTTCTGTTCCAGGCACTCTAGGTATTGTGAATGCAGGCGATGAATAAAATATGACTCCCGGCCTAGAAATACTCAGTCATAAGGAAGATAGCTAATAAACATAGGATTGTCATACAATGTCATAACTAGTATTAAAAGGTAGTTTATCAAGATAAAAGTCCAATTTAGAAGTAATAAGGATGGAAACAGATATTCATATCTACAGAACCCTGCCTATGCATTGCTTCCTTGTGTCTTACACATATTTCTATTGCTGTTCATAGCATACTATGTTATTGTGATGTTTTAATGTATTATTCTCCTTACAGATGTAAGTTCCCCAGATACTGCAGTTATGTCTTACCTTTATTTTTACAAGGCCTTGCGCATTTTGGTAGGCAGTAAATTATCTTGTTGAATAAATTGTTTAGGCCTTAGGAGGATAAATAGTTTTCTAGGCCTGGTAGTAGAGAGGACAGTTTTCTGAGACATGGGGCAAATCATACACAATGAATGGTATGTAGTCTCTTAAAATTCATAGCCTATTTAGGACAAAATAAATTGTCTGCTCCAGCACCAGTTTAGCTTTGCGGAAAAGTGACTAAGTGAAAATGGAAACAAAGGTCCATTTTGTAAAGGGCCTTGTGTGCCTTGAGGAGCAGATTGGCTTCACTGTTTATAAGCAGTAGGGAGTTCTGGTAGCACAGTGCCTAAGGCATCTATCTGACTGCTAACCAGAAGGTTGGTGATTCAAACCCATCAGCCACTCTGTGGAAGCAAGACTGGGCAATCTACTTCTGTAAAGATTTACTGCTTTGGAAACCCAATGGGGAGTTGGAATCAACTTGATGGCAATGGGTTTGGTTTTTGGTTTTATACTATCAGAGGGGTTAGAGAATCATAATGATAATTACTCACTGCTGTCGAGTGGGATCTAACTCATAGTGACCCTTCCTTGGGTTTCCGAGGTGGAATCACTCCAGGAGTAGATTGCCCAGTCTTTCTTATGAGCAGTGGCTGGTGGGTTTGAACCACCAGCCTTCTTGTCAGCAAATCAAATGCTTTAGGCACTACGCCACCAGAGCTCCTAATGATAATTTGTTGTTGTTGTTATGTGCTATCGAGTCAGACCCCTCCTTGGGTTTCTGAAGCAGTATCACTACAGAAGTAGATTGCCCAGCCTTCCTTCTGAGGAGTGGCTGGTGGGTTTGAACCACCACCCTTCTGGTTAGCAGTGATAATTAGAGAATCAAAATAATTTCTTGAATTTTACAATGTGCCACTGTTTTAAGCTCCTTATATGTATTACATCATTTAATTCACTCAGCAACTCGATGAGATAGATGCTATTATTATTCTCACTTTACATACAAGAAACTGAAGCTCAGAGGAATTACTTGCTTACCTCATTACATAAGCTGATAAGTAAGTTGATAAGCAGCACAGCTGTTAGTAACTACAGAGCCTGCATCTTTGACCACTACTCTGATAGAGTTGAGGAACGAGGACAGAGATCATCACACACACAAAAAAAGTATCCAGAGAGTGTAAAGGGCAGGACCGTAGTAGAATCTGAACAGATGAAAGAGATTGTGAACTAGGAGTTTGATATTGAGCCAAACTTTTCTCGCATTCAAGAAGATTCCATCACTAAAAGGTAGTTTCATGATCAGACTTCTGTAGCACTCCTTCAGATGTTCAACTTTGCTTGTTTAATTCCATCCTCTGTCCTTTTTCCTTTCCTTCGTTCCTACCTTCTAAAATTCTTATTTCTAAACACATTCCGCTTTCATTTAAGTGTATAAGAAACACCTATTTTGCACTTTTGGAGTGACTTTGGGCTAGTTACTTACTATTATCTGCTTTAGTTTTTTTATTTATAAAATGGGAATGATAGTAGTGTCTATCAGGATTGTTGCAAAGTTTAAGAGTTCATGTGTGTAAAGTAAATAGTGCTTGGCACCCCACAATGTTGTTTGATGCCATCAAGTTAATTCCAACTGATGGTGACTCCAAGTGACAGTAGAACTGTTCCTTAGGGTTTTCTTGGCTATAATCTTTACAGAAGTAGATTGCCCATCTTTCTCCCGTAAAGCTGCATAATGGGTTCAGACTGCCAACCTTTTGGTTAGCAGCTGAATGCTTAACCCTTGTGCCACCAGGGCTTGTTGCACAGCACCAAATGCTAGACCCAAAAAGCTCATTACTGTTGAATCAATTTCAACTCAGTGACCTTATAGGATGGCGTAGAACTGCCCCTAGTGTTCCCAAGGCTATAAATCATTACTTAAGCAGACTGCCTCATTTTTCTCTCATGGAGTAGCTAGTGGATTCGAACTGCTGACCTTTTAGTTAGTAGGTGAGGGCTTAACCACTGTGCCACCAGGGCTGTATTAGCATTGACAAGAATGGTGTTTCTTACTGCCAAATATGCCCTCCAGCCTTTGATGTCATTTATGTTCGTAAGCTGGAGCTTTTTCCAGGGGCGGGGGGGGGGGGGGGTGCAAACTCACTGCCGTTGAGTGAATTTTCACTCATAGAGACCCCCACTGGGTTTCCAAGGCTGAAAATCTTTACAAAAGCAGACTGCCTCATCTTTCTCCTGCAGAGCAGCTGGGGGGTTCAAACCACCTACCTTCAGTTAGCAGCCTTTCAGTACCTTTCAATAACTGCGCCACCTCCCACATCCATTGGTTTAATTCATCCATTTTACCTGCTGCCATCACCTTAGTTCTTACCTTACATCTCTTTTCCCACAAAGATGTATTGTCTGTTATCCCCCTCCCTGCAATATGTCTTCTAGGCATAGCTTCTTCAGCTTCCAATGATAAAGGACCATTTTAGGCATAGTGCCTAAAAAAGAATGAGCAGAACCATGACCACATGCTTCAATATCATTTCAATGTCAACTTTCTGTAAGTGTTTCTAAGTGATTAGTCTCAATTTACAGACTTATCACATTGTGGACTACTGAGAGTTTTCGTTTCCAACATATATGATCTGATCACTGCTTACGTCTCAAGGCTCACATCTTGTCATCCTCCAGCTTACCAGTGCCATAGCATTCTCAGCTCTACTACTTGAATGCAGTGTGCTATTGCTTCCCTTCTAACTGGACGCAGGCTATTCT